GTTAAGATATTTAATTTTTATTATCATTTTTTTCCTCTACTTCATAGAGTTATATAGATCATATAAAATAGTTGTTTCTTCAAAAAAATCTTTTACTTCCTTTCTTTCTATATAATAGTTGTCTTCTCTATATTTTTATTCATCATCAAAACTTTTGTTTTTTATTATATTTTGTATATATAATTTTCATTGTAATCTTCGTCTGAATTATAGTTGTTCTTTTTAAGAGCTTCTTTATTGTTTAATACATTTATTTTATATTTTGTATATAATTATATTATTAAAAAAATGAGAAATATATTATTAAAATTGTTTCAACCCATTCTTTTGAAGAGATTTTAATTATTTTATAGATTATTTATTTTTTATATGATTATATTATTTTATTAAAATTAATTCAGTCAATTGAACTTCAAATCCATATCTTCAATAAATTTATGGATTAAAATTATATATAGTTTTAAATAGTAGATTAAATAATAAATTATTTTTTTAAATAGTGAAAAAATTAATTTATAAAAAATATTTTACTTATTTTATAATTTAAAAAAAATAAAATTTTATTTGGGTATATAATTTAAATATTGATAAATTTAGAAATGGCGAGTTAGGTGATTCATCCAATGGCTTTAATTTATTTTGGCAATCCTAAATCCTAGTCTAATATTAAATAATAGTTTTAAATGTTATATAAATACCATTTAAGATGTTATAACGTGTAATGTGTTTTAAGATGTTACTTCAAGTACCATTTTTAAAAACGCTAGCTATAAATTTTTATTTTTTATTTACTTTTTTTTATAATTATATTTTTAAATATATTTTATAGAAAATTTAATATCTCTTTTATTTAAAAGGTTATATTCTTTTATTGAATATTTGTTTTTATCTATTTTATCAATTATTCATTTATTTACTGATTTAAATTTTTCCCTAATCTTTTTTTAACAAACATTAAAACACTTGGGACAAACCTTTATTTTTATATTGAAGAATATATTTGTTTTAAAATCTGATACAAGAAAACAAATAAATGAAAATCTATAAGCACAAATTAACACATCAAATCAAGTCTTAACACAACCAAACACTTAACTTGAAGTAATCAATTATTATTCACCGCAATGTTTGGTGGAAAGTGAAACGCAACAATCCCAAATTAATTCAAATTCACCTCTGAAAACGAAATTGCAAACGCAGAACAATTGATTCATTACCCATCACAAATCACAATTCATGATACTGACCCAGTCAACGGTCAACACTCGGTTACCTCCACGAAGGTGTTTAGGATCCTTTCATTACAAAACACTTATTTCCCCCTTACTTCCTGGTACTTTCTTCTGTCTTTTTAAAAAAATGATTTTTTCTTTATTTTTATTTTATTTTCCAACTTCAGTATAGATCAATAAATAATAAATAGTCTTCGAGAAAAAGAAAAATACCTTTTTAAAATATTAGAAAATGTAAAACTAAATTTAGTGTAATAAAAACATACTTGGCCTATTTTTTGTTAGGTAAACATTAAATGCAGGTAGTTGAGAGGTAGTGGTTATAGAAGTAGTAGTTGAGAGGTATTAGTTGTATTGAATGTATGTAGTTGAGAGATAGTTGTTGTATTGAATGTATGTAGTTGAAAGGTAGTAGTTGTATTAAATGCATGTAGTTGAGAGACCATATCCAAAGACCTATAAATTGACCATGTACCACTCATTGCATATACAACGGCTTTGTACGTACTGTACCGAGCTCTTGATGAGTCCGACTTTGAGAAGATAGCAAATGTTAAATCTTCAAAAGAAACGTGAGATATTCTGGAGAAGGCATATAAAGGGGATAATCGCGTGAAGTAAGGCAGACTTCAAACTCTTAGAGGCGAGCTTGAAAGCATGAGGATGAAAGAGGTCGAAGGGGTTGCCGAGTACATCTCCCGTGTTGAGACCGTGGTGAATCAACTCGGAAGAAATGGAGAGACGTTGCCCACTTGCCGAGTGGTGGAGAAAATCTTAAGGTCGTTAACTGACGACTTTGAGAATATCGTTTGTGCAATAGAAAAGTCCAAGGACTTGTCGGTACTCTCGGTGGAAGAGCTTGTCGGGTCGCTTGAAGCGCATGAGCAGCGGAGAAGGAAGAAGAAAGAGGAGTCCCTTGATCAAACACTCCAAGCAAAGACAACCTTAAAGGAGAAGAAGATTCCTTATGCTCAGAACACTCAAGGCCGAGGTGGTAGAGGTAGAGGAGAATATGAAAGAGGCAAGGAGCAAGTTAGTCAACAAAACTGGCGTGGCCGAAGACAAGGTAGAGGTCGTGACGGTAGAGTTCGAGGTGGTCAGTCAAGCAATTCCGGAGTTGAGTGCTTCAAATGTGGGAAGTACGGTAATTTTGCTAAGGACTGCTATTCAGGTATCAAATGTTATAATTGTGGGAAGGTTTGACATTTCGCGAAGGACTGCCGATCTGAGAGGAAGAAGGAGACAAACTTCCTCTCTGAGGACACTGAGGAAGAAGGAGTATTGATGATGTCGAGAAGTTCAGATGTCGAGCTAAGTCCGAGCTGTTCTGACAACTCGGTTTGGTATCTTGATACAGGAGCAAGTAACCACATGTGCGGGGATAAGAACCTTTTTAAGGAGCTCACTAAAGTTGAGACCGGACACGTGTCATTTGGAGATGCATCAAAGGTGGCAGTAAAAGGCAGAGGTACAATCTGGTACCTGCAGAAGAATAGCCGAGTTGGAGAAATCAGAGACATGTACTATGTACCCGATCTCAAAAGCAACATATTGAGCATGTGTCAGTTGATGGAGAAAGGATACTCGGTTCTGATGAAAGACCGAGTACTATACTTGAAGGACAAGTCGGATCGTTTGATTGCCCGAGTAGAAATGAAGAAGAACAGAATGTACAAGCTGGACTTGAAGATAGTCCAAGAGAGGTGCTTGAAACTTGACGTGAAGGATGAAGCAATGATGTGGCACTTTCGGTTTGGCCACTTGCATTTTGGCGGACTGACCGAGTTGGTAAAGAAAGAGATGGTGCGAGGACTCCCGTCTATGGATTTTGAAAAGAAATTCTGTGAATAGTGTGTGCTCGGGAAGCATCCGAGGACCTCATTTCCGAGGACGGCCGAGTACCGCGCAAAGGAACAACTCGGATTGATTCACACAGATCTTTGTGGACCGATTACCCTTGAGTCTTTCAGTGGAAAAAGGTATTTCATTTCTTTTATAGATGATTTTTCAAGAAAAACCTGGGTATATTTTTTGAAGGAGAAATTTGAGGTGTTCAAAAGATTTAAAGCAATGGTTGAGAAAGAGACTGACATGCCTATCGAATCTGTTAGGTCTGATCGAGGAGGCGAGTTCATTTCATCCGAACTCATGAAGTATTGCGAGGAGCAAGGGATAAGGAGATTTCTGACAGCACCATACTCACCCCAACAAAGTGGAGTTGCCGAGAGGAAGAATCGAACCATTCTTGACATGGTTCGAACAATGTTGAGAAGCAAAAACGTGTCAAAGGAGTTCTGGGCAGAAGTAGTGCAATGTGCCATCTATGTGCAAAATAGATGTCCACATGCTAAGCTGAACGAGAAGACACTGCAAGAAGTCTGGAGTGGAAGAAAACTGAGTGTGTCTCACCTTAAAGTGTTCGGTAGCATAGCTTATGGTCATGTTCCAGCTCAACAGAGGACCAAGCTCGAAGATAGAAGCAAAAAGTACGTGTTTATTGGGTATGATGAAAAAACCAAGGCGTACAGGTTGTTTAACCCAATAACTAAGAAGGTCATCATGAGTCGAGATGTTCAAATTGATGAAGAAAGCGAGTGGAGTTGGAACAATCCGGAGAAGGAGTCCATAGGAAGTAGAAGCTCAGAAGTTGATACACCACATACTGTGAGAGATCATGAGACTTCTGATGAAGAAGATAAACCTCTACAGCCCAGAGCACGAAGTTTACAAGATATATACAATTCCACTGACGAAGTGCATGTTGTATGTCTCTTGGCAGATTCAGAAGACTTAAATTTTGAAGAGGCCGTGCAAGAGAAAAGGAGGAAAAAGGCAATGGACGAGGAGATCGGGGCAATAGAACGCAACAACACATGGGAGCTGACTGATTTGCCCAAAGGAACGCGGCCTATCGGCGTAAAGTGGATGTACAAGAAGAAGACAAATGCTAAAGGAGAAGTTGAGCGATATAAAGCTTGATTCGTAGTGAAGGGGTACAAGCAGAAGGAAGGAATAAACTATGATGAAGTATTCACCCCAGTGACGAGAATGAAAACAATTAGGCTACTGATTTCCTTAGCAACTGAACACAGATGCACAAGCTGCAGATATGTTTACGAAGCCACTGCCAACCACTCTGTTCGAGAACAGCAAGAATATGCTTGGAATGAAGGACAAGAAAAACATTTAAGTTTATGGGGGGATTTTGTTAGGTAAACATTAAATGCATGTAGTTGAGAGGTAATGGTTATAGAGGTAGTAGTTGAGAGGTAGTAGTTGTATTGAATGTATGTAGTTGAGAGATAGTGGTTGTATTGAATATATGTAGTTGAAAGGTAGTAGTTGTATTAAATGCATGTAGTTGAGAGATCATATCCAAAGGCCTATAAATTGACCATGTACCACTCATTGCATATATATCAAGTGATAATATACATAGTGTTTTATTTAGATACTTGTTTCTCAACATTTTTATCCGCAACACCGTCCTCTTCTTGCTTTCTATTTGGAGTGAATCAAGGTTTAAAGAAAAAAAAAAAAGTCTTATTCTACAATTGAACTTTGCAGTGTAACGTACAATTGCAAAGTTTGCGTCTTGTTGACTTGTTCTATCTACCATATTTAAATTTCCACTAATAATTAACTATCTCTAAGTATACGTGTGAATCCACCAAAAAGAAAAAAGAGACAAGGCTGCGTGTATCGCCTTGACTTGACAAACCCAATTATGTTTCTTGCTCGCACAAGAACACAACAACATTAAGCTGGATGTGTTTGTTTCTTTTCTTTTCTTCAACTCTTATTACTTGGTCTCTCAAATCCGGAAGACACGTTCACACCACCCACAGTTTGGATCTTAGATAATACTACTGTAAGAAATATCAAATTGTATCAATTGAGGTTGGTTGCTGGATTTTGGCTTCCAATTTGGTTGGTGAGCTGACCCTGTGAATTGTGCAGAGCAGAGACTTCTGCTGGAGTCTTTCTCTTGGTTCTCTTCTTTTTGGAAGCAATGGCTTAAGTGGGTCTTCCCTTGTCAGAACCTGGATGCCAAACACGAGAAAAAAAGGGAATTTGTTATTTTGCTGAGTCAGAGAAGCTGAAGGTTTTTGGTTTCCTCCTACATCTGTTTGAACTTGAGGTGAGTTTTTGAATCAAGATATGTTTTTTGGTTTTTCTTTGTAAACTAATATATGGCCTGCAATTTATCCCAAATGAAATGAGTTACAAGTTATATAAATGTTTCTTTCTATTGTCCCTGCATCCCCTCTTTTGAATTTGGAGACACATGCCATTCTTTGTTTATTTTCCAAATTATTCTTGTTTATGTTACCAATCTGTGTCTGTTTGGTTTTATAATTGACTTACTTCAAAATTTGGCTTGCTAGAATAGGATTGGTTCTATAGATCATGTTGGCTAAAATTAGTTTACACAATTTCTGATGGGGTCATCTGAAATTAGAGCCGTATGGGAAGGAGTTGGAGGAGTGAGGCTCCAAATGGGTTTTTCCTTTCTGAATTGGTGAAGACTTAGGAAGGCAAGTGCGTCTGAAAATTTGTTGAGAAGTAGAAAATCATGTCAGGGATGTGGAAGCCATAACTAACCATTATTAGGTTCTTAATAATGGTGCAAAAAAAATATATCTAGGATGTGAAATCAGACACCCTAAAAAATCATGTATGACCTTCAATTTAGAGACCATGTTACTTATCAACGAGTCTACGTTTCTTAATTTGTTTTTCAATTTTTTGAAAATGCAGTCTAGTTCAAGTCAGGTTGCAATGAAGTGTTTCCTATTTTACTTTGGAGAGAAGAAGGATGGTCCTAAGAGATTGCAGTCGATATCGGGTCGGTCCAACAGTTCTACTTATGTCGAGGCTGAGATGAGAAGATCCGGTTCTGAATTGAACTCTATGGATGCCTCAGACACCAGCACAGACTCCCTTAGGAGAAGTGCATTTCCCAGTTTGTCGCAGAGACCCAGCAACCTCAGAGTATTTTCTGTATCCGAACTAAGAACAGCCACAAGGAGTTTTAGTCGCTCTGTAATGCTTGGAGAGGGTGGGTTTGGGTGTGTCTACAAGGGGTTGATGAAGAGTGTAGATGATCCTTCCACAAGAATTGAAGTTGCAGTTAAACAACTTGGCAGAAGAGGAATTCAGGCATAATTGTTTCCTCTTGAGAAGCATTTTTTAATTGTTGGTTCATTGCTAGAGATGTCTTTCAAGTTACAACCAATAATTAGTTTTCCAATAGATTTTTCTGTTCAAACACTCGTTCCACATCAGATTTAGTTGCTGCTGCAGTGTCAGGAGGAATCTTAATAAAATAAACCAAGGACTAGTCATGTGTATAGTTTATTTGGTTCCATTGTGTACTTTGTGTTTAAATATCATAACGCCCATAAAATTCATGTATTGAAGTATTATAATGCAGCCATAATAAGCACGATGTTGTAAAAAAAACTTGATAATTGAATATCACGAGTTATAATAACAAGTATTATTTTCCCACAATTCAAGTTTTCATTGTATTTAAAAAACCTTACTTTAGCCTCTAAAAATTTGTGATGTATACTAAGGGTTTCTTATTGCTTTTGTGTACCTTTTACTCTACACTACAATGTTTTCTACTTTTTTATCACAGGGGCACAAGGAATGGGTGACAGAAGTGAATGTTCTGGGCATTGTGGAGCATCCGAATCTGGTGAAACTAGTGGGATACTGTGCTGATGATGATGAAAGAGGAATCCAGAGGCTTCTGGTTTATGAATATATGCCCAACCGAAGTCTGGAACACCATTTATCACCAAGGTCAGAAACACCTCTGGCATGGAATAGGAGGTTGAAAATAGCCCAAGATGCAGCTCGTGGCTTAACATACCTGCATGAGGAAATGGAATTTCAGGTATAGCCATATAGCATAACTTTACTGCTCAATTAGATAATGGCTTCATTGCCTTGTGTAGAAAGTAGAAACTCAATTGTTTTGATCTCATTTAGACATCCCAAAAGAAAGGAAGATGGTAAGAGCTACATTGGAATTCTTTTTGAAATTTCTCTAGTTGCTATTTAAATATATGTTGTGCGGCTTGGTATTCCTGTGCTGATTATTATATGTTGGGTGTTCAGATAATTTTCAGAGATTTCAAATCTTCAAATATCCTTTTGGACGAGCAGTGGAATGCAAAGCTGTCAGACTTTGGGCTAGCAAGATTGGGACCATCTGATGGGTTAACTCATGTCTCAACAGCGGTATGGTCATGTTTATTGATCTCAGATTTCAAATATAATATATATGCAGATATGTAATAAGCAAAAAGGTGTTTGTATATAAGAATAGAGACCTGAATCTATATGCATCAATAAAGCCTTTTCACAATTTTCTGAGGCTGGGAGTAAAAATGGTCATGTTAAATATGTCATCATATGAATCATGATCACAAACTCTATCTTGGTGCCCTTTGACAAAACTCTTGATCATATTGATGAATAAAAATTAACCCTTTCGTAGTTAAAAATCTACATGATACATCATGCTATTCAAACTCAGTAACAAGCAATATAGAGCTGGATTCAGTGAACCAACAAACAACTTATGTTCATAAGGTCGGTTTATTCATCAGGTTGTAGGAACAATGGGTTATGCAGCTCCAGAATATGTTCAAACCGGACGTCTCACATCAAAGAGTGATGTATGGAGCTACGGTGTCTTCCTTTATGAACTCATTACTGGCCGGCGTCCTATTGACAGAAATCGCCCTAAGGGTGAGCAGAAGATGTTGGAATGGGTTAGACCATACCTTTCAGATGGGAGGAAATTTCAAATAATATTGGATCCAAGACTTGAGAGGAAACACATTTTCAAGTCAGCACAAAAACTTGCCATAATAGCCAACAGATGCTTGGTCAGAAACCCAAAGAATCGCCCAAAGATGAGTGAAGTGTTACAAATGGTGACTCAGGTTGTGGAGTCTTCATTGAGTACTAATCCACAGCCACCCTTGAAGAGTGTTGTAGCCTCAGAAGAAGCTTCTCAGGGTACTAAAACAGTGAACAAGAAAATTACCATGGATCAGAAATCAGATTGTAATTGGCTAAGGATGTGGAGGGCAAAACTGTTAAGAGCATGTTGATTGTTGTAGATTTCATCTGGACAAAGCAATGAATTGGAGGCAAAGTTTCTTTATGACAAAGAGCAACTCATGTCAATGCTATTTTTGTGACACAAAAAAAAGAAAAAAAAAAAGAAAAAGAAATGTCTAACCTCTTCATCTCCCCTAACAATGTGTATAAACTACTTGTGCCACTTGGGTGCTTCTAGCTTATCAAGCTATTTGTTGAAATTTTTAAGGATCCTGTATTCAGGTATGAGGAAAGAATTGTGTATTCCAAGGTAGAGGATGGATTTCTATGATATGCTAGCTATGTTGATGAGCCTGTTGCATGTAGCTGCTCTAGATCTTAGAGAAGCCACAAGACAGAACTGAAAATCAATCACTTAATGGATGTAAAATACTTCATTTTTACATTCTATATCTTTATATGCACATTTTTTTATAAATATGCAAAATGAAATTTTATTCCTTACCTCTATTCTTCCCCATAATGCGTTTCCTACATCAAATGCACCGAAAGGGTGCATATTTATCACTAAAAGAATAGTTATTTATATTAAAATAAATTGTACACAAAAAAATATTAGATGAAACTTTACACACATGATAATATTTTAAGGCAAGAAATTCCTGCATGTGATTTTTGAAATTAAATTTTGTCTCCTTGAATGTGCTTATAGTCTTGGAATTGCATAGCTCACCTGCTTGACTAAACCTTGGTAATGAAAGGATTGTCTTAAGTGTTGGATGCACCTTAGCACTGTCTACTAGTATGAACTTGGTTTACCTTGAGTGTTCAATTTGAAATATACATTAGATTTTGATAGGTGAAAGTATATCACAGTATTCATTTTCATTGTCTTGCAAATAATACGTTACTGAGAATTGATGAAACTTCATATTCAATTTTTAAAGATTGATGGGATATGGAGGGTTAATGTCCAATTTCGATACTGATACTTACAATATTAAATTATATATATATATATATATATATATATATATATATATATATATATATATATATATATATATATATATATATATATATAAATCATAATGTTGCTAGCATTTTTCGTTTTTCTTTTAAGAGATTGTTGTTATTGTTTGTAATTTTACTCCCGAGATATTTTCATTTATCAATGAATCAATTTATCCATTGGATACTATAAAAACATAATTTTTATACTAATATATATTTAAAGCACACACCTTAGAATAACACTCACAAGATTTTTTTATATATATACTTAATATTTTTTATATTACTATAAAATTATGACATCTTAACTAAATTTGTATTTCATGATCCATCAATCATTAGTCGCGTGTAAAATTTACTAAATAAAAAAATTAATTTAAAAGGAAACTTAATCAAAATTTATGATAGAAATGAAAAGAATATAAATTTAAAATTCAAATAAAAAGAAAGAATTTAAATTTTTCATATTTATATTTTTCTCATTTATGATGCAAAGCATGAACCTACAACAGATGATCCTAAGGATACAATAACAAAATTTGGTAGATAATTTTCTTATTTAGCTTTCCTCATTCTTGTGATCAAACTCATGGCATGAATTTTGGAGAATCTTCTTTTTTTCCCACTTTCTGACAATTAGCAAGCATCTTTATCCATATAATCAAGCATCTTAATAATATAATGAAGTTTTTTTTTGTCTAATCAATAATTAGAAATGCTTATTTTATAAAGCTAAGAATCAATATTAATTAGCGCTCTAGTTGAGAGAGACTCCATGGTTGCATATCTACATAAACTTAAAGTTGTTACGGTGTCTTAATATATGGATAATTTGGAGTCTACATTGGATCTCATACATAGAATTCTTTCAAACTTACAAAAGATTGATTGCACATTTTTGTATTTGCATGGTCTTAAATTGCAAGTTAAAGATTATGTTAAGGTTTGTCAACAAGCTAAAAATTTGCAATCCTTGCCATCAAGACTACTCACTTTGTTACCAATTTTGTATCAAATTTGGGAGAAATTATAATGGATTTTATAAATGGCCTACCTCCTATACATAGAGCATAAAGTTATTACGATTCTTGTTAACATAAATATGTTCATTTACTTCCTTGTAAAATTGCATATAACAATACTATTATAGTATACCAATTTATCTAACATGTACTAAAGCTTCATGGCATGCCTAAATCCATTGTTTTTTACCATGACATGACTTTTACTAGTCATTTTTTTGCAACATTTGGTTAAATCTAAAGGTACTATGTTGGCCATGAGCAATGCCTCCCACTCGTAAATAGATGGTCAATCAAAAGTGTTAAGGTACTACGTTGTTTTGTTTATGAGAATCCACACAACTGGTTTCAATTACTATCTTAGATTGAATATTGGTATAATTTAGCTTATCAAACAAGGGCTAGTATGACCCCATTTCAAGCAATGTATAGGTGGTGTCCTCCCCCTACCTTAATTTGTTAGGTCTTTCCGAAGGGGCTAATAATAGGGAGATTCTCACAAATGGGTTATGAGGCAACCATATAAGAGAATATGACACCACCTTCAACCCAAAACTTTAAGGCATTAGGTTATGGGTCTTTCTCACTTATAAGTTACTTAACTTTCTCATTTCTACCCAATGTGGGACTTCAAACTCATACTTGAGTTCTCAATATCTCCCCCTCAAGTGTGATTTCCTTTCACATTAGTATACCTCCCCCTCGAACGGAAGCATTTCTTAGCCTTGAGTACCTAGTGATGATCTTACTTGTACTGTCGTTCAACTTAATGGGGCTCGCTTGCCTGAAACCCTTGTCATGAAGACTTTCAACACAAGAACCTTTCACCTACTATACTCAACTAAGCTGGTCATCGGATAAACCATCGGCTCAAATACCACTATTAGGTCTTTCTGAGAGGGCTGACAATAGGGAGATTCTCATAAATGAGTCATGAGTCAATCATATAAGAGAATATGACACCACCTTCAACCCAAAACCTTAAGGCATTAGGTTATGGGTCTTTCTCACTTATAAGTTACTTAACTTTCTCATATCTACCCAATGTAAGACTTCAAACTCACTTGAATTCTCAACATAATCTGCAATCTTTCAAAGCATTTACATGTTGAAGTTGCATGATTGTTGATACAAAGAAATGAAGTGTTAGCTACCATCAAGATAAATCTAGGCGAAGATCAAAATCGTATAAATAAATAGGTGGTCAAAAAATGGTGGATGTGGAGGTTTTGCTCAAGAATATGGTTTTTGTCGAGTTATAGGCATATAGGCAATCCATTTTATATTCACATGATCGCTAAAAGTTGAATCTTTGTTACTTTGGTCCTTTTTCTATTGCGGAAAGGATTGGTATGATAAATTGTCGATTATTATTATCACTTATTGTTTGTATTCATTCCGTTTTTCATGTTTCTTTGCTTAAGAAATTTGTGGGAAACTATTCTAAACAATATTTTGCTCTTCCATTAAAAACATTGATCTAGGATCCCCATCCAATTTCTTTACTAGCTATCGACTCGAGTAAAATTCAACAACAAGGTCGTTAGCTTAAGCATGTTCTATTACAATGAACTAACTTGCCTCGTGCTTATATCACTTGGAAGTTAGTAAGTATCATTTATACAACAATATTTTCTAATCTTTTCACCTTGGGATTAAGATCAATCTTAATGCAAGGAGCATTGGTACAAACTTAGAATCGTAATATAAAAAATAATGTTGAGTATAGATATGTGACATATGATACTAAAGATACAATAGATCATAATTTGATATAAATAAAATTTAAATAATTAACATTTTTCATATATAATTATTTTAATTTAAATAATCAAATTTCATTTTATTAAACTACTTTTACTTTTATTATTAGATTAGTAAAATGACATTCAAAATATTTACTAACTAATATTTTTAAATAATTAAAATATTTACTAAAAAAATTAAAATTTAATAAATTTACGTTATCTTAGATTAAAATATTTATAAAATTAAATAGTTTAAATGGAAAATAATTTAAATCTAATATATTTAAATTATATTACACAATTTAAAAGGAAAATAATTTAAAGTTGATATATTTAAATTTCTTGAAAATTATTTTATATTCAAATATAAGGTAAAAATTTCATAAAATCATATTCACATATCAAATAAATATGTCATGATTTACAATAAAATAATATGCATTGGGCTAATATTAAAAAATCTTTAAGCACACGCGACATTGTAGGTTCAGTTCAAGAAATTTACGAGCAGTAGGATAATTATTGAATAATTTATGCGTACATAAGTATAATTTTCAAGATTAATAATTAAAAATTTAATATCCATCAAAGTAACTTTATAACATGGACTCCATTTTTATTATTAGTTCATTAAATTAAACTACTTTTTAAGTATAGTTCCAACATAAAATCAATTGGTAATATGTAGAGTAGCCTAACAAGTATTTAAATCATATCACCATGACATGAGACAGGCGACGTGAGACATTTAACACACCTCCTTCAACAAAGTCTGTCAGACCAAGTAAATGGTACTTTTAACCCATAACAAAAAGACAACTCTTGGTCCAAGATAATAACCGAAAAGAAGTTAGGTTTTAGATATGATACCACAATGTTGGAATCTCATGGATGTAAAAGATAGAAATGCAGAAAAAATTAAATATTATTCACTCTACTTTGAACCATAAATTTGGCTAAAAAATTGAAAAATTGCCTAAGCACATAAAATGTTTTGTTTCTTAATAATACGACGGACTTATTAAAAAACATATGGGACCACACTTACTAAGTTTCACATCATTTGCCTCATGTCATGTGGTATGATTTAAATACATGTTAAGCTACTCAACATATTGTCAATTGATTTTATGTTGGAACCTTAACATGGTATCAAAGCTCCATCATGGGGCTTGATCTAAAGTAGAAGCAATAGTCTTCTAAGTGTAACACGCAATGACGTCGGGAAGTTCATTTGTGCGGCTTGTTATACCAAAGTTTGACGGG